CCTTATTGTTTGAGACAAATAAGCACTTATTTGGTTAAGCCCCTGTGTCAGGTTTCTGTGATAAAGCAGCCAAACGAAGCCTGACAACATGACCCCTAATACAGGCTTCCCAAAGATCTATACCCATCAAACTTTAGTCCCCTTAGTTTCCTTCTAGTTGAAAAGATATGTGTTTGGGAAAATGATTACAATAACACCGATAAGTAAAAAATAACAAGCTACCAAATGCTGTAGATTATATGGTATGATCCAAATTTCATTAGGAGAAAAAAAATTGCTATGAGACTCAGGGATATCCAAGCACATTACTCTGAGGAAAAAAAAGTGCATGTTTTTATTTTAACAAAGCTGTTTTGACAAAACTACTTCAAAATGTCCTGCTGGGTTTCCCGTGGGCCAAGGGCACTGTGGGTTCAGGGTGAATGGAACATGTCAGGGAGCTTATGGCAACCAGAGGAGCTGGAAATGAGTGTCTGTCTGGGGTTCATTAATGATGTTTTGTGATTCTCTATATATGGCCTTGGGTGGATATTCTGAGGAAAAATGACTAGTCTCGTTTGTGATTTATACCACATTACTATTTGCACAATGTAAAAGAATGGTGAGCTGACCATGTTTTTATTACACCAAAAGGAAATATTTTTCAGATTATATCAGTGCAGTTGTGCCTGCTAACATTCTTGCTACTCCCTTGTTCATTTCCAAGGAAATGTATGCTCTTTCTAAGCACAAATATGTTTTAGGCCAAAATAGCATTTATTCGGTAATATCTACAAACATGGGACCACGCAGAGTTAAAAGGAATGGTCCTTGGTAAAGTAAGAAGGAGCTGATCCCAACCCAGTGGATGGAGGTGTTCTCAAAGCGGGAAAACTTACCATCACAGTGTCCCCTCCAAACACGCGCACGTGCATGCCACGCACGCACGTGCGTGCACACACACACACACACACACAGCATACTCTAGAAAACCTATGTCAGGGTTAAAATTTGGTCCTTCATGTCTAATAATATTCAACAAATATTTCAGCAAAATACATTTATAGAGCCATTTGGAAACAGCTGCATCAAAATGAGTTGCTTAGGGGGCTGGCCCAGTGGTGTAGCGGTTAAGTTCTCGTGATCCACTTCCATGGGCTGGGGTTCACTGGGTTGGATCTTGGGTGCAGACCTACTCACTGCTCATCAAGCCATGCTGAGGCTGCGTTCCACACAGAAGAGCTACAACTCTACAACTATGATACACAACTATGCACTGGGGCTTTGGGAAGAAAAAAGAAACAGAGGAAGATTAACAACAGATGACTTTAGCATAGGGCCAATCTTCCTCAAAAAAAAAAAAAGGAAAACAATCTGCTTGGTCTCTTACAGTTGAAGCAAGGGCACTGCAGTGGTCCAGACCAGGTGGGACATAGACAGGGAGCCCTTGGCAAACATGAACAGCTGGAAATGATTATCTATATTGAGTGGGAAGCACTGCACTAGGCACAAAAATGAAAAACTGTTCTTGTTCCTCCAAAGCTCACAAGATGGCATTGAGATCAGCAGACAAGGACTTGTAGAAAACTGTATGATGTAGATATGTACAGTCATGTGTCGCTTCACAACGACAGGGATACATTCTGAGAAATGCGTCGTTAGGTGATTTTGTCATCATGCGAACATCATAGAGTGTACTTATACAAACTTAGATGGTACAGCCTACTACACACCAAGGCTGTATGGTACTGATATTATGGGTCCACTGTCATATACGTGGTCTGTTGTTGACCAAAACATTACGTGGCGCTTGACTATAGCTGTACAGATAACTGCATATGAGGCATACCTGAATAAATTTGATAATAAAGCTATGAGAAGTCGGCGGAGGTCCAAATAAGAAGCCACTAATTGTAATTAAGGAGATTCAGTGCGGAATCTCAAAGTACACAGATCTCAACAGGACCCTCCTGGACCCTCTAGCCCGGATTCAGGACCTGTTAACTTTTCACATCACACAGAGAATCGTATATTACATCTTGACAACAGCAGCAAAAAACCCAGTGGAAAAAACTAGGCAAAGGAAAAGCAACAATAATAATGACGGCTATTATATACTGAGACTTTAGGGGAAAAATGTAATATATAATTAAAATAAACATATTAAAATATATAATCAAAAGTGTGATATAAATTATACATCTGAGGTACAGAATGAGTGATTTGACATTATTTTGCTGAAACTCAGGGAAAGAATGAGTGATTTGACATTATTCTGCTTTGCTCAGCTGACAACGCTGGGCCTGGCCCACCCACCTGCGTTTCTGCCTAATCAGCACGCACAACTTTCTTTCCACAGGGAAGATGAATGAAGCATATCAATTAACTGGCAACTTAGCCTCCTGATAACAAAGTAGAACTATTTCACTAAGAAATAATAATGCAGTGAGGGCATGGGGATATACACCATCCTTTTTGTTGACGCAAACTAATTTTCTAGGATTTCTATGAATTAATTAGTTACTTAAGACTCTCAGCACAAATATACACATGGAACTTTTTTCAAAAAATCTACTCGTTGAATTGGTTCAGCCCTTTTGTAATGACTGTGCACATACACAATGATGTAACGACTTCTGCTTCCTAAGAAAAAAGCATCTTTCCTTTATTATTCAGGGACCAACGGTTCCTTGGTCTTACAACTAGCACAAAGAGGCACAGAATTCATGTGCACACATTTTAAAAAGGTTTAGAAATGTTTCCCGCTGTCCTGCTGCTGCAATTGACAGACAAGATGGGCGGCTAGTTTGTATTTCTTTAATCATCTTTCTTCAAATCTATTTTCCAGTACAAAGTTAGAAGTCAGTTAGTATGACTGAAAGCCCTCATCTATAGAAAGCCTATTTTGGATTTCTTTTAAAATTTTTCTATTTGATGAGCTGTTAAGGGAAATTGCTTCCTTATCTCTTCTTCATTTCACAGCGAGTTGATATCAGTTTTTGTACAAAGAGGAAACCGTGGATTGGCTTACTCAATCTCTTTTCCAACTTTTTTCTAGCTTCCTGCTGAAGCTCAATGGTTTAAAAACTGCCTCTTCTGGACCCCTTTGCAACTCGTGTTCCAGACGTAAACTAATCTTACCCATTAGAAGCACTTGAGGGAGATTTGGAAGCAAGAGGTGAGTTGGAAGCCGTCTTTCTGGCCCTGTTTCTGTTGGAGGCAGTTGTGGTCACGCTAACGGCAACGGCAGCTGGGGCTTTCTAACCCGTAACCCACAGTTCTGGCAGTAGGTTCTTGGACAAAGTAATTCCAGGAGCCACCTCTTGACTCCCACTTCTCCACGCTTCTAATGATTTTTTAAGAGCTTGATTCCTGTTATGAAATATCTTTCTGTTAAAAATACCTACAAAGGTTTCTGTTCCTTGTCTTAAACCCTGACTAAGCCAATTATATTGTTCATTCCTCAGTCTAAAGATGCAATATATGAATGAGGACAACATTAACATGTAACATTTACAGAACACTTTGTAGTTTACAAAGTACATGGCCATGCAGTACATAAATTGATCCTGACCACAACTCTGTGAGGACATGTACTGCTCTCTCCCTTGTACGGATGAGAAAGTTGAGTTTCAGAAGAGTTAGATGACTTAGCAAGGCATTTAGTTAATAAGAGATGGAGATGAAATTCAATCCCACATTTTATGACTCTTAGTCACTTCCTTTGACCCTAGGAAGCCTCCCAAGGATAAATGAAGAACAGAAAGAAAGCACATGGATGCTTGGCAATGAATTACAGCTTCTTTCCTATTTTAAAATAAAAATTAAAAAATCGTATCATTACACTCTAAAACCATTAAATTAGACTAAAACACCTAAGGATGAACTAGCAAATATGGGCTATTTCATGGAGAGTGTGACTCAGGATCTGGTAGAGCCTGTGCCTCAACTTTACAGGATCCCTCCTTTGAAGACTCTTTGCTATTAATACAGATACAGGAAAGGTTCAGTTCTGTTTTCCAACTCTGACTGTGAATTCTCTTTCTGCACAATCATCTGGCCAAACCAAGAGTGGCCTGAGGACTTCAGAAAGCCAAGATTCATTTCTCAATTTCTTCCTGATCGCAATTTCAGCTAAGACCCACTCCCCTCTCCAACTAGGGGTTCCCCAGAAATAAAGATTTCCTTTCTCCCCCGACTTGCTGCATAGCTATATTTTAATTTTATTTATTTATTTTTTTTCCCCCAAAGCCCCAGTAGATAGTTGTATGTCATAGCTGCACATCCTTCTAGTTGCTGTATGTGGGACGCGGCCTCAGCATGGCCGGACAAGCGGAGCGTCGGTGCGCGCCCGGGATCCGAACCCCGGCAGCGAGCAGCGGAGCACGTGCACCCAACCGCTAAGCCACGGGGCCGGCCCTGCGTAGCTATATTTTAATAAAACATTTGATTTCTATGCTCAAGAAACCACGAAGAAAAACATTAAGTAAGCAAAGCTTGATTCAGACCACTTCAAAAGTGGCCAAAGTCTTTCTCCCCATATCCACAACTCCTCCACCTCACAGCAGTAGTCTAACCACTGGGTTAAGATTCAAGAGCTCTAAGAAGCAAACGTCTGACCATGTGGTCCCCACTCCCTGAGAGCAACATCAGGCCTAACAAAACATTGCAGTCTTGCAAATCTTCAAGATCATTCCACAGCCAACCACAAAACACTAGAATTCCATAATTCCCTGACCTTGCTTCCTTTTCTGCTGGCATCCTTTAGTCTCATACCTAGGACTCAAATCAGGAGGGCTAGGAAAACTGTTACTCTGTAATATCCTACTTCTGCATCAAAATGTGATGTGATTTCTTCACAAAAAAATGATAGCTATAAAGAAAAACATTTATAACTAAGAAGAGAAGAAAGAAGATGAAAATAAGTAGATTTGATTAGTTAGGTCAACTCAATGATCCCTTTGCTATGATATCAAGACATATGAGAAACTATATTGAAAGGCAACAAACTCTATACTAACCTGGGGGAAGAGAGAATAAGTTGAATTGTCAATGGTGAATGAGTATAAAAACTCCCCATCATACCACATGCTCTTCCCCATGGGGGAATTCATTTTAGTCATAGCAAAGAGATGGGCGGGGTCACAGCAGTCTTCCATCTGTTTCCTAGGAGAGAAAACAGAGAGAGAAAAGAACAGCAGGTTAAGTGAGCAGCAGTCTCATTCACTTGTCATTCCCACCGAGATGTGCAGCCTTACCTCGGTGCCAGCTCACAAAAGCATCTGTGTCTCCACGGTGATTAGACTACTATTAATTCACTCTTCCAGCCATCAGCATGCATGACTGGAATATTTCATAGTAAAAAAAAGTTTAAGAAAAATACATCAGCTCTTAGATGCAGCTGAAATATGTCTGAAGGCAAAAATAATCATTATAATCGCAGATTTATTGATCGATTTAAAAATCCAAGTCCAGAAAAGACTTGGATGGCTAACTTTGGAGACTGTCGAGCTGTTCGGCTACAGCAGGAAGGCATCTTGATGGTGATGTAGCAATCAGGTGGTTACATTCAGTGACGAGGGACTTTACATGAGCTGTATGGAGTAGGGAGTGCACAGAGCGGCCTAAAAGAGGGTGCACTCCTCCAAACTAGGGACAAGAACAATCCCTGGAAACTCTTAAACTGAAACAGAATGAGACGAGTGACATGATTTCAGACACTGGTGAATCAACCTGCCTTCTGACTGGTATAACACGTGGGCCCTTTCGGTTCTCATTTTGTCTGACCTCCGAGTGGTGGTTGACACAGTTGAACACCGTGACCTTTGCAAAGGTCTCCTCACTCCCTTAGTGTCTGAAACACCCGGGTCTCCTGGGTCACCTCACCCTTCTGGGCTGGCTCGCAGGCTGCTCCTCTGCTTGCCCCTCAAATGGAAGCCCTGTTACTCTTCTACAGGCCAGTCTTCATATTCTCCTCTAATTAAAAACCTGTCAGAAACCAACTGTTGACTCACTGAGCTTTCAGGAATAAAAGATCTTATTCTCCAGTCACACCTCTAGAAAGACCAATAAAACAAAGTGCTGACATCAACCACTTCTGAATAGCGCCTCCACACAGACCTGCTTGCTTAGACATCTTCAGCTACCCGTGGTACAGAAGCTTAGAGCTGAAAAGGGACGGTAATGTGGAGGACTTGGGTTCAAATCCTGACTCTGCCACTTACTAACTCCATAAATGGGGAACGTTCCTGGGCTTCAGAACCGGCCTCAGAGACTATTATTGAGAATTCACTGAGAACGTACAGGTAGAGCATCTGGTAAAAGTTCAATACATGTCATTGTTATCACACAGCCCCAACTTTACTGTAGAGATGAATAAACCGAGTCAGTGTGCGGGACCAGCCGCCTCAGCCTGAGGCCATGGCGCTCTTCCCACCACAGGGTGCTTTCTCTGGCGCTCTTCAGTTGGCTTCCCCTTCACAAAGGCTTCAACAGGGGAGATGGGCTCAGGAGAAAGCCGTCATCTTATTGAAGTCGCCAGAATTTGTGTCACTTCTTGCTCCTACATCATCATTCCATTTCTTGCCAGTTGTGTCTCCTTCCCTTCTTCCTCCATCTTCATTAACTCTTATTAGTGTTTCATCACCCAAAAGGAGCCTTAACCGAGGCAGTCAAGTTTTATAGTGAACTGCCTACATTTGTCAAAAGAGCACCCTACACACTATATTCAGTCAACATAAAACAGAACCAGACATGGCTTAAGACTATCTTTAAAAGTGAGGAGAATTATCATGGGCATGACTCTAAACTTTGTGGGATGAATAAACTGAACTTTTGAGCCCCATTACATGTCTGGTGATACCTTACCATGTTTAGTCCTTACAGTAACTCTAAGAGACAATTAAGGGAATTATTATTATTATGACTCCCAATTCAGATCTGAGGAAAAGGGATTAGGGCCATTACAGGACTTGCTCAGGTCACACGAGTCCCAGTCTAGGCTTTTTCTTCTCTGCATGCTGCCTGCCCAGAACCCTTTTGCTTCACCTTGACTTTCTCTTCCCCAAAGAAACGCTTTGTAAACACCAGCCAAGCACCTGGAGTGCACCAGGTACCTTCATAGGTATTTTTTCACTTAATTCTCATAGTGAGTGACCTTGGAGCTGGAAAGCTTTAAGATTCTTTTTTCAGTAACTTATCTTGCGTCACATAACTAGTGCAGTGGTGGGACATGGCTCTGCTCCCAGGTCTTTTATCTCATGTCTGGTACTTACTTCCAACCAGACCATTGCTCTCACCCCCAAACCAAGCTAAACTTTCCACTCAGTACAAAGTGCTACTGGAAATTCAGAAGGAAAATCGGTCACAGCCATATAATAACACTTCATTTTGACTAGTACCTGGCAGTTTACATACCACTTTCACATTGGTTTCCTCTTTTCATCCTCAAAAAAGCAAAGAAGAAGCTAGAACTGATTCCATTATCCTAAACTTACAGAAAATGAAGCTGAAGTTCAGGCCAAGAGCAAGTTCATTAGATTAATAAATGTTTGCTTAACTATTGACAAGATGTGTGTCAGATGGACTCAAATCCACATCTCCTCCTACAGCATCACCATGCTCAGGGCAATCAGACCTTTGGTGGGAAAACCAAATACTCGACAAAAGATGGAAAGGGTCACGTATATACAAATATTTTTTAAATCCAAGAGCTATAGCAAATTGATAATAATCATATCGCCATTTCCAATATGGGAGTGGTTTTCCTATCATAAACTTTCCAACTTTTTCCTCCACCCGGAATGCCTCCCCATCTTCCTTCTGCCATGCACATCTCTGGAGGGTGGCCGAAAAGGGACCACAATGTGAATGTGAATGTGCGTGCACTCCCCGTGCTGAGAGGGGCCCACACTAGCTCACCAGCTACGTTGGCTAGAGCAGCAGCAGCAAAAAGAGGAGCTGGAATAGCACTACCAGCAGCAGTGGGAGCAGTCCCAGCAGAAGCAGTAGTGTGATTCTGGCTGAGTTCTTACCCAACACTGTGCTAGGTTCCTGGGATATAAAATTGAACAAAAAACCAGACTCGTCTTCAGAGAACATGCTCAAGAAGGGGGCAACCGACAAGCAAGGATGTGTGAGGAGGATGTGACCAGCGCCACTACAGATGTGCACAGATGGCTGCGGCTGCTCAGAAAGAGGAGGACATGAAGTCACACTCAGGGCTCCAGGAAGGATTTCCTACGGTGATATTTGCAGGCTGGGAGGAGCCGGCAGGAAGAACAAGGACGCAAGTCATCTCGGGCAGGGAAGCCGCTACAAGGCCACGAGACAACAAGAGGCATTCCTTCACCAGAGTATACAACACAAATATTAAGTCTGCAATCTCTAAGAAATTGTTGAGCGTCGAATAATGCGTTTCACCTCCATCCAACCTGCAAGTGATCCTGGAGAGAAGATATATACCAGCTTTTAGAATTTTTAGCAAATTTGCTTCCCACTCCCCTTCTCATGCTTTGCACTGATGCCATTTATTATCTGCTTTTGTGGCAGACAATAAAATCACAGAGTCAAAAAAGCAAAAGTAAATCCATTTTTATATTCAAGTTTAAATTTGAAGATTATTAAGTTTCAGTTGAGCGTGAGTTGAGTATTGGAGTTAAAATTTAAATGCTTTTAAAAGATGTTCAACATCACTAAATATTAGGAAAATGCAAATCAAAACTACAATGAGATGTCACCTTACACCTGTCAGAATGCCTATAATTAACAAGACAAAAAAACACAAATGTTGGAGAGGATGTGGAGAAAAGAGAACCCTCATACACTGCCGGTGGGAATGCAAACTGGTGCAGCCACTATGGAAAATAGTAAGGAGATTTCTCAAAAAATTAAAAATAGAAATACCATATGATCCAGCTATCCCACTACTG